GAGAGAGGAGAGGGAAAGGGATATTCACCGAACAGTTATCCGGCCCTGATGCTGCTCGGAGCTTGGGCTCCTTCGATCGGCGCGGTGGCTGTGGTGGCGGCGGCGGTCGCGGCAGTCGGCAGATCCATTTTCGATCGCTCGAGAGAGATCGGGATCTTGTTTTCTCTTGGGCCCCCAATGCTCTTTGGCCCTTGACTCCGCGAATCTTTATTTTTTTCCAGCTTGAACGCTACGAACGATTGCGAAAAACGAGGGAGATTTTACGAGCGAATTGCAACAATGTGTCAAAAAGTTTACAATTACCAGATGCGAGTTTCAAGCGATAGCGACGAATACGAGAGGGCGAATCAGACTGTTTACGAAACGACATTTCATAATATCCCGGTATTTTTTACACGAGAGAAAAATAATTTTTTTATCTGAACGCAGCGCGCTTAACGATCGTTCGGTTGAAATTAAGCAATCGTTGGTGCGCGTCATGGCGAGCGCAAAAGGAGCGCAGAGGGGCCGAGCCACCCGTCTATATCTCCGATACGGCACCGGTCGACTCCATTTCGATCGGAGCGCGAATTCGTTGACCGTGGATAGAGGTTGAGCACCTCGCGATCTGCCGTTCAAAGAAAAGTAGGATGGTTCTACAAAACAGTTAGATGGCCCTGATGTTAGCAAATCACCGAGCGATCGTGTCTACATTCGCATTCGCCGGCGATATTATATGGCTTTGCAGAAGATTTGAAGCGTTCCGCAATTTCGTTCGTGCTATTCTTCATCACGTATAAAGTACGGAACTCTTGAAAGACATGTCACTCTAATACTCTTTATATATATATATATATATATATCTAATCAGTGCGTAATATTGACTTTCTATTATTATATTTAAAATAATATACATATTTAAACCTTCCGTTTTCTAGTCCAATAATGCTAATAATGCTAATTTCATTGAGTTAACGTTAAACTGTAATTTTTATACTTTCCCGCGACGCAACGTGCAGTTTCCGAGAAAATTTATCGCTGTTCTTAGATACACGGGCTCGCTTATCCTCTCGCTTTTCCACGTTTCGAGCGCTACGTTTCGAGCACGTCCAAGGAATCGGGATTCTCGTTTCTTCCAGGCTCGTCGATCTTTGGCCTCCGTCTGCGTTCCGCCTTCGCTTCGTGCCGCTCCGAGAAGCAGTTCTGATGCACGGCTTCAGATAGAGTTTCTAGGATATTCAAGAAACTCGTAGAGACGGCGCTGTGTCTTGCAGGAAGCGTCTTCAACTCGCAAATTTTCGAATTCTCATGTTAAACGATATGTAGATTCTTCTTCTTCCTTGCGATTTTTATTCCCCATTTTATAAAATTTTAAATAATTTATTCTCGAAAGAGTCCGTAATTCTCTTAATATCGTGTATAAAGATCGACAGAGACATCTTACGGTGAGAGCAACCTAATTAAATGATCTTTTTTATCACCCACACTTCCCACACATATGTTCTTCCACGTGTTTCGAGCCGATATTTTCTCAGGACCGCTAAAGCTGGCGGAGGGCTGGCGTCTTCTAATTCTACGTTTCTCCGAGGGAGCGGTTTTCGGAGAAGAAATAGTTCCAAATTAGACGCTGAGGCTGCAGCCGGTCGATTATATCGCACAGTACGTGAAATGGCCGCCACGACCGTATGCTTTCTACATGAGAGTAACCCTCGTAAAGTAAAGAAGCATAACAGACACGAAGAAGAAGGACGTGCTCGTCTCGCGAGCCTGGTCGCAGTTGTGCGAATCCTTTCGCGTCGAGAAAACTGCCCTCGTCTTTTTCGTTTCGAGCGCGAACCTGTCCGATCGCTGTGCGCGTCTCGAACGTCTCTTATGTCATCGCTCTTATAAGTCTTTTAACCCTCTGTGTGAGTAGTCTAAGAGCCACGTCAAAGTCATATATGCGGAGGATAATACGTTCGAAGTGAAAATAAATCAACTCCGCGAGATCGCGATTTGACTCGCTCAAAGATACATAAATATTTTCTTTTTTATCCTATCTTTATTCCTACAGTATAATTAATACGTCTTTGTACCAAAGTGTTTTTTTTTTTTTATATGATTCTTTCACCTTTAACGGAATGTCACGTCTTTCACACGTGCGATTAATGTCACGTTTCTGATTTCTTGAGAGTTTCTCACGTCCTGGCGAGAAGATGTCCCGTGGAGTGGATCGCAGTGGATTAAACAGGGGTAGCTGACGAGTGCGGGGCGAATGGGCTCTGTAGGGGCTGACGAATTTTCAAGCGGAACTCCTCGCGGGCAGAATGCAGAACGCGCGAGGTCCCCGAACCGGCCCTATTGATTTTAGAGAACCTTCCCGGCGCGCGCGAGAGCGAGAAAGAGAGAGAGAGAGAGAAAGAGAGACCGTCGGCAATTCCGAGCTTCCCTCCGTCCCCCTCGTCAAGTTTTCGAGAAGGGTCACCCCGTAATTTGAATATACGGCACCCTTCTGCGCGTTCGCAACCCCTCCCGGCCACGTGCACGTTCGGCATATTTCGTCCACCGTGTACAGCGCGTTCGTTCTCCTCGCGCTTGAAATACGCGGACGTGGTATTTTGCCGTGGTATCATTATCGCGGATTCGGGGTGCCGAATCGTTTTTCCGTTAATGGAAAGCGCTAAAAATGAAGAATTTATCTTATCGAGGAAATAACGTAATCATTAAACTTGAGTGTTTGTCTACACATGATGCATTCGTATGGCTTTTATACCACCGATAGGGTCGCTAAAATAATCTCGTTGTCAGATAATCTCGCAAGCTGTGGCGTAAATTTGACGGAAGGATTTGAGGAAGGTGAAATTCGCGAAATCTTTGATTCGCGGATTCAGCGTTTCCGTGTTTTTACGCGTCGCACGTATTCGCGAGCGAAACGCACGGAAACGGAAACGGTTAATCGCGCCTGAGGTATATCGCAACCGGAGCGAAAACGGATCGCGCTGTAGACGTCGATTGCACAATTAACCAGTTCCGCGACCGGCGACGCGACGCTTAGCCACCTTTGATCGTGGGACGTAATATTTTCGCCGTTCCGCGCGTCAACGACTTCCTTTGTGCGCAAAAGCGGAGTTTCTCGATAGTTTGGCGGTTTAACTCGCTTAGAACTTGGATTTCGTTGAATTTCCAGAGAACCCGCGTGGCCTCGCCACGACGACGAAGCACGAGAGTTGCGTTCCGTACTTATCGTGACGGCGCGACCGCGCAATTTTTGTCGCGAAAACACACTCGTTCAGCTCGCGCGCCCGCGCCCGCGCCGCGGCGCCGGCGTGAATTCCCGACGTAGGGAAATTCGCGTGCGGTTCGTGAATTTTCGCGGCGTCGACCCCACGATAATCCGGGCTTATCGATCGGCGCTCAGTTGCCAACTTGGCAGTGGCGAACTCCCGGAATTACGAGTGAAATGCTCTACATAGCGACGCGGTTGGCAAATCAGAACCGCTTTCATACCTTTGCAGGAGAGGATACGTCGAATTCCGGCTCACCTTCCGGTGGGCCAGACTTTCGCACGTCGACGCAGACGACGACAATGTCCAATGTCCGCGTCGTATGCCTCTCCTCGTTTAACGCAACGGGACGTGTATCCTTCGAGATATTGTTCCAGATCTCTGATCGAGGTGTAATGATTTTTTTTTTATTTTTTTTTAATAGCAAGCGTATCCACTGTGTGTACCGTACATTGTACAGTATACAAAGGATCGAAATGAGTGGACGAAATGATTTCCCTCTCCCCTTCCATTTCGTTGATTGAAGCGTTTCGAAAGGGTAGAAAACTTGCACGTCAAAGGGTTAAGGGAAGAGAGTACCGCGGGAACGGGGTCGGACTTTTTTTTCCCCAGCCGAGCTCGTTGTTCGAGTTTCGGGCTAAATCCCGGACAGAGTGGTTTTCATCCCCGACAGTCGCCAAGCTCGTCGTCTAGTTAGTTGTACGGTATTGTAACCTACGCGCTTTCTAGCAGTCGGCGTTAGTTCCCTGCTCGCTCATTCCCTCGTTCAGATGTGCATGTCCTTAAAAATCTGTGGGGGTCAGTGGTGCTCACACCTAGACTTACATTGACGCAACCAATTAGGAACATATATAATAGTATAGAATAAAAGCCATGTAACTTTATTTTGACTCTGATGCGGTTGTATGGTGGAATCAAATAAAGTATATTGCCTTGGTTTTGCACAAACTTTACGTGGGATTTCGAGGCTGCGCGACATTGGATAATATCGAGTCGTTTGACGAATATAGTTACTTAGTTATTCTTGTAAATTTGAATTATTAAAAAAAATATTTTTTATGTTCAGAGGGATAGAACGTAGGGACAGATCCGTAAACACGTGGTATAATCTATCTTAAGACTATTGTATTCAATCGATAACGATAATGTGTTCCATCGAGTGTTTTGACTTAAAAAAGTCATCGGTCTATCTTCCAAAACACGAGTGATGATTAGAAAGATGATGTTTTCGAGTACTTTGCGCACCTTTAGGTAGCGCAGGCTCCTTAAATGAAATGACGCCGTCCGTAGAAAAGAAAAATGACAAGGGTCGACCCCGACAGAACAATCAGAAACGCCGGTCTGCCTTTGTTTGCGCGAGCAAAGACAACAAAGTGGCGTTCAATACAGATTGTTCTGCATGCGCGCGATACGCGTGAATTATGTATAAATGTAAGTGGTTAACGTTCGGTTCTCATAGCGAGGCGAGCCCGCGATCTCGCGTCGCCCGGCGATGGCAGCGATACGTATCACGTTGGCTTGGCATTAACGCGCGTTTTGAGAATCGCTGACACCGCGCAGACGAGACGGGACGGGGATCAACGGGGACGACCGACGGCGACGGCGAGGTCTGCGCGTATTCGGGACGCTGCTGCGGTGGTGCGCAACCATCGACGCGCAAAGTCACGTGACAGAGCGTCGCGGTGGGCGCCGTCGGCGCTGGATTGGCCGATGTCGCGATACGAATCCCCCATTCGACGTTATCCGAACAAAGAGACGAGGCTATCCCGTCCACGGTCGCGAGCGCTGCCATTAGAAAGTCGTCGGCAGTCGATGAACGCGGGAACCGGGAACTCCGCGAGAGTTGGATAGAGAGCGAGAGGGAGAGAGATAAAGAGGAGCTGGTCCATCATCGGTTTCGAACGTCGCGAGAAAGTTTTGCGGCCAGCCTGTTGGGACTCGATACGATACGGAAAGAGGGGGAGAGAGAGAGAGAGAGAGAGAGTGGAAGGTTCAGCAGAACACCCCCGATCGTTAGAGATCGACTCGACCATACCCACCGTACGTCGGAGCGTCCGTAGGTCTCGTATCGGCCGAACCGTCGGGATCGATCCGATAAAACGAAGCGTGAGAGAAACGCGCATCTTCCAGCCTTCCAGCCGCGAACGGCGAGCGGCGAGGCGACGCGAATTCGGAGCCAGCGAGGAGGCGAGCGCGGAGAAACGACGCGTAGACACGCTCGCCCGAAAGATAGATCATCCCCCGCGTGCATCTGCAACTGTGCGCCGGGTTGCATCCTCATCGGCGAAGATCCTCGAGGGACGCTCCGGCGGTTTAGCCCAGCGCACTGGAGGGTCGACGACGTACAACCAGCGCTGTAGAGTGCTACGCAGCGACGTGGCGACGACGCCATTTTGTGCTCCCTGGTACCGTGCGCTTCTTTCGGAATCAGCGTCGAGCCTACTCATCGCCCCGCCGTGACCCGTGACACGCGGGTATCTCCGATCGCGTTCGTCAATAAGTGTAAAACGACGTAGAGCGCTTTTCAGCTCCTCCGGAGTATTGGAGCGCGAGAGCCAGCGACGGAGAGAAAGAGAGATAGAAGACAGTGCTCGTGTACCCAAGCAAGTGCGTCATCGGCGTGATTCTCATCCGCGCACCGTCAATCCCACCGCGATAAAGAAAGAGAAAGAGAGCGAGAGAGAACGCGTGAGCGAAGAAGAGGGAGAGAAAGAGGGTTCTATTCAATTTTCATAATCGTCGATATCTTCGCCCTGGGTCACCATCGACCATGAGACTGGAAATCGTGTCGGCGGCGGATTTTCTGGTGCACCTGCTGCGCTTGCAGGCGGGTCAGCTGTCGGAACGGCAATTGGAGATGTTCAAATCATCGCTGACGGAGGTGTTGCGCCACCGTTACCGGGACCACTGGTTCCCGGATCGGCCAAATCGCGGCTCCGGTTATCGTTGCATACGCATCAACGGTAAAATGGATCCGGTGATCGCGCAGGCCGGCGCAAACGTCGGCCTGCTGCCGACCGTTCTGCACAGCCTGTTCCCCAGCGAGCTCACCATGTGGATCGACCCGTCGGAAGTGTCGTATAGGATCGGCGAGAACGGCTCCATTTGCGTGCTGTACGAGCGCCCCGAGGCCGAGACCGCGGATGAGATCTCCCAGCAGCTGCACCAGCATCAGCAGCACCCGCATCAGCCGCATCTGCATCAACATCAGCATCAACATACGCACCATCATGCGCAGCATCACCAGCAAGCCGCTATGCCGCCGCCGCCGCTGCCCCTGCCGCTCCCGCAGCAGCAACAACAGCAGCAGCAATTCGAAAGCTGCAAAGACTCTCTGCTTCTGGAGCACACGCAATTCAGCGAGCAGATCGCCGCGTACGTCTCCAGCTGAATCGCCGGGCTCGCCGCCGCGCTCGCGTCCACGCTCTCGAAATGATCTACTAAGCGCACGTGCATCTCGTGATATGTGATATCCCGTGTATCGCGTCGGACCGAGCAGGTCCGCGCGCTCAACCCTTTCGTGGACTCCAAACGTGCGTGCACCCTTCCCTCCCTCCCTCCCGCTCTCCCCCTCTCTTTCTCTCTCTCTCTCTCTCTCTCCTTGCGTTTTAATCTTCTCTCTTCTCCTTTTCTTTCCATTTTTTTCCCTTCTCGGTGAGCACCGAGAGTCTCGAGCGAAGAGTCGGTTCTCCTTTATCGCCGTCTCCTTCCTTTCCCCTCTCTGTTTCTCTCTCTCTCTCTCTCTCTCTCGTTTTTTACGAGAAAAGAAAAGTAAAATATAAATGGAGCACCATCAGTCACATCCGTCGATGATCCGCAGCGTCGTGACCTCGACGCGCCTCGTCCCTCCGAGCGAGTTCCTGCTACACGGGGAGAGTCCATCCTTCGGGAGACGCGAGCTCGTCCACGCGCGTCGGTCGACTCGAACTCGACTCTAGTCTAGTCTCGCGCTTCCCGATCCTTCTCTCGTGCTCGAAGAATCTCGAGAGTGAGTAAGAAAACGGCACCTTCGACAAGAGATATGTGTTCCCGAGCGACTAGTCTGTGCGTGATTTAAACGCGCTCGATCGAAAAAAAAAAAAAACAACAACGGAACGAGGGAAAATCCACCTGTGTCGCGATGGAAGAGCGAAAAGAGGGACGGAAGCGGATCGAAGCGCGCAGACCAGTCGATTCTCGTTGATCCAACGCTGCTCACCCGAATTGTCATCGTCATTGGGTCGCCCTACTATCGGAGCGAGCCTCTTTTTCGCCGGAGAAGGATCTCGCGGCCGTCGCAGCGAGAAAGAACGGAGCGAGCTCGGAGCTCTCTCAGCAGCCGACTAATTGATCTCAGCACCTCCTCTATCCGCGTAACCTCCGAGTGTCTCTCGTGACGACAGCAGCCACGCGAGAGAGGAACAACGAAGACCAGCCAGCCTCATCGCCCTTCCTACGTTCTCGAGGGAGTAAAGGAATTGTACTCATTACATTTATACACGAGAAACATACGCACACGTACATATATATATACATACATGGATTTCTCTGTCTCTCGCATCCTCCCGAACGACCAGCGTCTTTCTTCCACGCACTTTTTCGTTACCGTCGGATCTCGAATTAAGGTTCGTACACACCGATGAGTATTTACGATGCGGAAACACGGATACTTATTCTTTTTCTGAAATTAAATCCCGAATGATACAATCCCGCTGGTTGTTCAGTCGTTTAGAGTACAGTTCAAGAGAGAGAGTGAGCGTGATTAGTATTCGGAAGTCATTTACGATTAGAGATTCAATAATTCTTGCAATGTATATAAACGAATTTTTCCATTTCCATATTTTCCATCTCGCGTCGGTTTGTACGATCGTGAAATTGAGAACCGCAAAGGAAAGGGATGAGAGTCGATCGTTCTCCATTCTCATCGTCGATAATTTTCTCGAACCTCGCACTGTCAATGCAGATTACCACCGAGCCACACACACGTACACAAATTTTCATAATACATTCATACAAAATTAAAGACGCGCCTACCGATGATTTTTGAACAAACGATCGCGATGGATCTCACCAGCTATCGTGAGTTGTCAAAGATCGCCGGTGTTAATTCATCGAATTTACTCTTCGTTAACGTCGCTTTCCACGAGCATCTGTAACGATAAAAATACGTTACATTTACAACGTCGTTTTCTCACGTGTATCCTACTAATTTGTCGACTGATTTAGATTTTCTGGAAAAATCGAGTGTAGAAATTTCGCGAAACGCCGCAACACGATAACAAAGTTTCAAATTCGATGTAAAGTTGCGACTTGTATTTTTCGAGAACGGTTTTCAATAAGTACGAATCTTAAAAGCGTTTCAATTATTCGACAGCGATTCTCGACAATACAAATCGCAAGCGGTAGTCTGAATGTGCATACACACAAAAACACTCGCAGACACACACGTACAAATTTCACGAAAGCGCGTGAGTTATATATGTACATATATACATACATATATAGATATATAAAAGCGTTATATATGTAGAGCACCGTGTACACGCGCGGGGGCGAAGCAGGGGGAGTTGGAGAGTTGGGCGAAGTCGCCTCCGGGCGTGTACATACATAACTGACGAATTGTATATTATATCCTTCGCGTGAGAGGAGATGGAAGAAAGCGGGAGAAAACACGACGGTGTATAAAATTGCTGTGATTTTATTCACGGGAAGGCACCCAGGCGTGTTTTTACTATGGAGAGTCGGTCTTGGGTAGTGAATCGCTCGATGCACGGTGTGCGATCGCGAATGTTTTGGGAGTGACCGCGGGAATGATTCCGTGAGAGAAAGAGAAAGAGGGAGAGAGAAAATGATCGAACGCATATGTACATGTACGGCGCTCACCCGATATACGTAACGCTCGCCCGCTCCGGCAATAATAATAGAGTTCGCTCGATTAATCACGCGTCTGCTTCGTGCTCGCGGCACATCGAGATCTGTTCAATTACCGTTACTTGACGAACCGATAGGTTCGCGTTAATAATGAGAACAATATTCACGTCGTCGACGGATTATTACGAATGCGCGATTTCAGTTTTTTGCCTATCAATTCAAATTGGATTTTATATCATCGTTACACGTGGAAATTTTTATTAGTTTTTCCGGATGCGTGGGAACGGAGGTGAGAGTTCGCGATGTAAAAGAGTGTATGTGTGTACGTGGGTGGCGTGTGCGATATATGTATGTACGTACGAAAGATCGAACGGTTAATGGAGGGAGGGGAAGGAAAGGAAGAGAACCTATCGTGTTCGGCGTCGAACGAGAAAAGGCTCTGTTGTACGTAGCAATTATAGAAACCATGTCTGTGATTATACTAAGAATAGAGCGACAATATAAGCAATTTCCGTATATAACGACCTAAACACGAGCGGCGTGTGCGCTTACTATACATACCGGTATGTAAATGGTACATATACTATGTCACATATTATACGTGCAAGAATTTTATCCGCGGGAACGCGCGCGTTTCGCGCTTTTAATCGGGTCGTCGCTTCGATCCAAGTTGAAAAATCTCTCGCGCCTTTGTATTCCGACCGGTCGACACGTTCGTCCTTTAATTGTGTGGCTATCGGTATCGCATTTTCGAAAATAAGTAGTAGCGTTCCATCGGAAGAAATCGATGTATTCTCGTGAGAACATCGCCATCGAGAGCGAACGATGCAAATCCGCTTCAAGTGTCGAAACTTAAGACGACTCGTTTAAAATCGCTGAACGCGCTCGTGAACGGCGGAAGGACGAAATAATCTCGCTCATCATAATAAGCTTCTCGGTCCTCTTCGGCTTGACGTCATACTACGGAGTAATCGGAAACTCGTATCATAACACGTACGTGCTAACGCTGCGTGTATTCATTAACACCACCGCGAATCGATCAATCCGAAAAAAGGCTTTTGTTGTTGCGAACCACTGTGTGTGACGTCAGAACGGGGGGACTGTGCTATACGCGATGTCGGCGAGGACAAAAATGGAATAGAGATTATCGTTTCCTTCATTTTTTTTACATATCGGGGAAATACACGCTCCGATCATCCATATCGGTGGCTGTAGAACACCAGCGATCTCGAATATATAATCTGTGGAAAGTAGTGCGGGATGAAGCCGGAGAGAAAGTGTGAGAGCCGTGCGGTGAGATCTCCGTTGCGTCCTTCGATGATTATTTTGCTGCTGAAGGCTGACAAAACACGTTCCTTTCCCTTTGTTTTTGGTTTCCATCGGAAAACGCGGGGTCGAAAAGAGCGCGCTCGTCTGCGAGAATTATCCTATGACCTATATATATCTCTCTACATTATTCCGTTCCCACAAGCATGCATAAAAACCTATAAATATCGACGAATACAAAAGGAAAAGACAAATACTAAGGGAGAGCAACAGAGCGAGAGAAAATAAGATGGTGCGTTAAAATGAAAAATGGGGAGGAAAGAGACAGAGAGAGAAAGGGGGCTGCGCGAAAGAGGAGGAAATGCGAGCATATTTACACATTTACTTCGCGAATAAATTGTAATTATATATATATGCGTATATATATATACATAATTATATACATATATATATATATATATATACACATCTTGTAATTATACATATATATATATATATATAGAAAGAGAGAGAGAGAGAAACAGAGACCTTCAGGAGGAATTTGTACAAATCTGCTGGGATAAATCACCAGCAAGTCTGTGATTTTAGCTTGGTTACTAATTCAGTATTTTTTTAAATAAAACGAGACAAAATCAAGATAAATCATAAAAAAAGAAACATGATTCGGCCCGCGAGAGAGAGAGAGAGAGAGAGAGAGAGAGAGAGAGAGGAGGGAGGAGAAAGTTTATGAAAGAGAGAGCGTGTGTGGTCAGACTGAATGAGAGAAATAGAGAGAGTGCGCGTGTGGTTGAAGTAAGGGAGCAAGAAATAGAGCCGGGGAAGGGGAATTTTAGAATTAGAAGTTTGCAATAAAATTATTTGAAATGTCTTGAAAAAAGTTTCTCCAAGCAATTTCGCGATTCTTTGACTTGTTTTACAAAAAAAACATGATGAATAGCTCTTACTTACTTTACGATCGTTTTGCTTTTGTTCAAGAAAACGTGCAATTTGTGAGATTATAATTACTCAAATCGCAATGATGTCATATCAATGTGCCGACGTGCTCGAACGAGTGAAAAGAGCGTGACGTACCTCGCGTTAAAAACATCGTCGCGATAAAGAAGACGGGAATCATTTCTCTATCTCTTAGAGCCGGTGTCACTAACGTCAGTTAACATTAATCGTAATTAACCATTTTCTTTTTTCATCTTTATCATTATGCCCAGTGATGCAATAGAGAAGAAGACAACGAAGAATGTTAAATCACAGTCTGAGCCGATTACCGTTGGTATAACTGGCTTGTTTTCATCGTTATTATGAAATTATTCTCGTTGCATCAGCTTTGAATTTACTTCGTTGGATTAAATCACGGTGAATCACGATTGATACTTTCTGGGTAATTTCAAGTCCGTCTCGAAAAATGAACGTGTCGAATGTCACGCTTCTCAAATCGTCGTCACGTTGACGCGTTGTCAGCATCAATGACCTTTGTGCTTCGATTTTCTGGATTTTTCTTCCTTGGCTACGCATGAGAAAGAATTACGAATAGCGAAAAAAAAACGGAACTCTAGGGCCGGCTCTTCGTCGAGTGCTTTCCCTTTCTTTGGAGAAGTCATTTTTCGTTTATGCAGACACTAGAAATGAGAAAGAGAAAGATGGAGGGAATAAGAGGAAGACGATAGATTCTTGGTGAAGTAAAATTGCAACGGGGATTGGTATCGAAAGAAGGAAGAAAATAAAAAATGTGAAGAACAAAGAGAGAGGGGGGGAATGAATGAATGAGTGGATGAGTGAGGAATGAAAGAGAAAGAATGTGAGGGGCCAGCAGGGAGGTTCAATTCGATCGATATGAGCCACGAGTCTACTGTCTTACGATAATACGATTGTGATGACAGATTACTTATGCGAATACTGATTAGCGAACTTGTAGCGGTTTCGTTTAGCATATTCGTTTAGCATTGTAGGGAGAGAGTGAGATAACAACTACTCGTGGCTCTGCGAGATCCGAATTCGACGGCCCTGTCCAGCCAATGCATCGTTCGGAGAGAACGAAGGGAGAGCGCGAATAAAAAGATCCACTCGTTTCTGCGCGTTGTGACTGCGAGCGAGACGTCACTCAATGAATTCTGTATAAAATTCGCTTTACAAGTCTACATGCATGTCCATGAGTATATACACACACAAATACACATGTCACACTCGACACGAACATATACGTATAGGTACATGAGTCGCGAATACTCGAGACACGATACTTACATGTGCGATACTCGATACATTACACACATACTCGAATCTGTAGACTCGTAGATTTACTATTAATTATAATGAATTATAATTATTATATCTATTATATCAATGTATAATTATATTTAGTTTTTAGGTTTATGATTATATTGGCTAATTATTTCCCGCTTGTACATACGCCGTGAAGCTCCAGAGAAAAAATTAAATCTTTAACAAAGAAAATCTATAATTTTTTCGACTGTTTTTGTACAGATATAATAAAAACAAAAGGCCTCGTGCTTATGAAATTTCATGAATATAAAAAAAAAACACATGTGTCGATCAATCTCGCCGTCCATTATCCCGATCACCTTACCAAGCGTATACTGTTTCATGCTGTTTATAGTATAAGGTAGAAATATAAGAATTTGCATGAATTTATGCATCAGCATAATCGACCGTAAACATCGTAAGATTCGACGTTTTCAGACGAACTCTGAGTAAATCAATTTTAGCGTTTCCAAATTTGCTTCGCATTATTGACAGACGTGCAATAAGCTCAACAAATAAGCGAATACTTATGAAGCAATGCCATTTACCAGAGATAATTGCGAAATTCTTCGAATTATTTAAGACATTAGCGCGTCGTATCTTATGTTTGTCAAATAAATTTCGTAAAAACGACGATTTCTCTCGTGAGTGAAATTGTTTACTTGATAGAGGCGAGGCTGAATATCGATGATTTATCGACACGTCGATTTTGGTGAAGCGAGTCCATTTACATCGCGCTATCGCGAAACGATAAATAGTGCGTAATTTTTTTTTTTACGTGTCGACGAACGCGAACGGGAAATCGAGAATTACTTTTCAGCCACGCTCACGTCCCCGGGATTCTCGATAAAGCTTTTTCTCGGAAATGTTTCGCTCGAGATAATTCGAGAGAACACTTGCAGAATCAAAATTGGACGTGTTATTGGCCAGAAATGTTTCTTGTCATAGAGATACTGTTGTTAAACTTTCTAAAAACGAATCTTAAATAAGAGCTATTGAAATTGTATGTATTTGTTTTATATAGCGGATGGAGAAACAGTTACAATGTAACAATTAGTTAAAAATGAAAAGGGTCAAAACAAAAAGAAACTTTGAAAGATTTTTAATTAGATTGTCGATAAATTAGTGAGAGACGATAAGTAACGACATTCATTTGAAGTTTGTTTTATTTATTCACGAGACGCGCGCGTGGATATTCGTCTTTGAGAAATCTGTGAAATTTCATTATTCGAGTTTTAATATGGAGAGACATGAATGTTCAAACAGTCAAAAATACAGAACAGAAAGAATGAATTATAGTGCAATTTTGAATCTATCGTTTTGATCACGAATAAATAGAATGAGAAAAGCAGGGAGATACTTTTTCTCTGCACGATCTCTCATACATTTATTTCAAGTTTTCTTACTCAGATTATGACATTGTTGTTTTCACGTTCTTTCAAGTCTCCTCTTGTGGAATGTTTAATTACAGAGCTGACTTATTGCGATGAACGTACTAAGGCAACATTTATCGTTTCGCAACAAGATACTTAAGAAAAAATGAGAATTAACCGTGAAATAAATTAGTGTTACTCTCGACGGTTGATCGTCGATAGTCTAATCAAGTCGCAAATTCTATGACGCTAGCAAA